TTTCTCAGCTGAGAAACCACTAACTTGAACATTAAAAATGGGTGCTAATATTGTAATGTGTAAATAGAGTTCATAGATTTAGCTCATTTCTCTACCCTTGGATTGGTTGTTTACTGTAAGTCTTTGACTGGAATGTGTCAGACTTGGGACTGAAGTCTGGGTACATCATGAATAGCATCTGGCATTAAAACTACAAGCAAAAGATAGGATTTATTGTTTTTTTTTGCAGACTGGTAGTATCTAGATACTAATTGCTTACAATGTCCCTGCATATATATTTAAACCTCTTACTAATTTTAGGTGTTAAAAAGGCCTCATGTGGCTGCCGAAAGGGGTTTCCCAGCATCGCCTGACTTCACATCAGCAGAAAATCTAATCTCTAATTTAAACAGAGGGAGGTCCGTTTTAGAATGGATCCAGGGAGGGACATGTTTAGGAGTTATGGACTCAGCCAGGCTAAATTGCCTTGATGTTGTTAAATGCAGGCATCCAAAGCAAAAAAAAATAAATGTGGTAATGGAGTTTACATTATAAAGTTACCCAACTTAACAATAACTCACTCGTACACAAACATTGAGATTTAAAATAAAAAATCAACTTAAAGTGCTCCAGAGGGGTGTTATATCTTTACATGTTTGCAGTCCAGTGCACCAATAGCGTTAGGATATAAAAATATTTATTAGTGGTTTTTAATTCAGGCTGATAAAAAAAAAAACTAGCAGATTAGGTAATGGATTTACTGATTAAACCCACTGGTTTCTGATCAGTGTCGCCCCTGACTGACGGTGTCAGCCTGGCTGTTTGCCTGGTCTGGAGCAGAAAGGCTGCAGAGAATAAATCATCATGGTAACTTATGCGTTACAGCTTTCATGAAACCAAGTTTAGGCCAATTTCAATTTCAGATTCAAGTTTGTTCAAATACAAAAATTCTGATTATACCATGCATTATCCATCCAATTTCATTTCTTTTTTTTCTTTTTTTTTATTTACATGATCATACATTAATATGAGCAGGACATGGTGAAATGGAGCATCATTCTAATTAGGCCAGAATATCGGAAAAATAAAGACTTAATCTCTTATCTTGGTTTTGTGAAATACGACTCTTGTGTAAAACTAAATAATTAAATATAAACCGAAATGTGCATATTGTACTTCCACAATTATGGAAAAAACCTCTTAAAACCATTCCTACAATTGGACAACAATTTTAGCTCAGTACATTTTGTCAGCTTACACAGAAAAGCATAATCTGAAATGCAACAGAAGCTAAGAAGTACTATAAATCCACCACTCCTATGAAAATCTCATTCAATACTTTAAAAACATGAAATATGATGTACAGGTAAGTTAGACTTTGTAGTATTTAAAAGTCACTTTTATACCAGCAAGTCACTATAAATGTTTGATTCATAAAACATCAAAATCAGAAAAAGCTTTTTAAACGTACAAGAAATTTGTTTGGGTGAAAGCATGCTTCACACAGACAAGCAAACATACAAATGAAAACAACTAAATAATTACATTGAACTTCACTAAGCATTGACAAAATATCCATTCTGAAACACTACAAACCTTGCAGGTTGTGTGTGCAATTTACCTTGGGGAGTGATCCATAGACTTCTATTGGGTCTAAACCCCCTGGGCCCAATCTTTTCTGTCTTTCCTCTTCCTCCAGCTCCTTCATAGCTCCTTCCATACGGGCCTGCGCACACCGGCGGACCCGCTCCTTCAGCAGGTCCAGCTCACGGTCGAAATATTCCTGGTACGGTTTATCTGCAGTCTGTCGAGAGGACGGAACAACTGGAAATAAACAAGCAATCATTTGTTCCTTACAGGGCAGGGGATGTGCAGGCAAAGACAAACCTTTATCTTTGAGAAGAATTGTCTAAAGCAGCCTCTTGGGTCAACTTTCAGAGTCCGAGCTAAATCCAAGATGAACTGCATGACGATGGCTTGGTGTGCAATCTGCTCCATTAGACCATGTTTCTACAAGGACAAGTACGCCTCAGCAGGCTCTGCAAGGCTGAACTGTTATTTATTTACTCTTTAACAGCACTCACCTCATCTATCTCAAAGTCAATACAGAGGACGACAAGGTAATTAGCACTCTCTTCACAGACAAGATGCGGGTTGTCAGACAGATACTTCTGGCTGTCATCCCAACGCCGCAGCATACCTGGTAAAAATACATAAATCCAGCATTAACACAGCAAGTTCAATGTTCTTTGCAAAATAGCTTAAGCTTCGCCAAGCATGGGGGAAAAATATATTTGAGCATTCATTTTAAAGTCACGCCACAAATTCTCAATTAAAAGTAGGTCTGTGTTTGGTTGCACTATTCTAACTGATGAATGCGTTTTGGTCTAAAACTTTCCCCTGTAGATCAGGCTCTAAGTTTAGGATACCGGTAGGTTTCCTGCTTCAGGTGAATCTCTACCAACGTCCAAATGATTTTCGAGTCTGCTAAAGAGGCCAACTCTTTAGCAGCCTCTAATGGGTTTTATTAAACTATTATACTTGTATTTACCGGTATTAATTGTCACATCAACTATGAGGAATGTTCCTGTCCCTGCTGAGAGGACTGGCACTTGTAAACATTGATCTAACTGAATCTTTAACCTGAGATGTAGATTTTTCTAACTCCTCCAGAGATATTGTGCCATCAGCTTCTTAGCTGCTTCTCTGATGACTGTCACAGTTTAGCTGGGATTTTATGTCTAGGTAGGTGTGCTTCTGTTCAAAGTCAGTCTTTTTGTTTAAGAATGATGAATTGAGAAACGCTCATTGAGAAGTCCAAAGTATGTTGCGGTATGTTGTTTCACAAATAAACCCCATTTTCCAACTTGCCCACATCTTTCCTTCTCTCCTGTAAGCTGTTTTCCTCGGCCTACATGATGCAGTTTTGTTTACTCACATTCTCTCATAAACTGCATCGTTTTATTTCAAGTTAATATTATCTAATTATCTTATTCAAAGAGTAAAAATTCTCTTGCCATCAGCAAATCATCTTATTTACCTACTTAAATTAAGGGTAAATAAAATACATTTGTCTACTATTGAAAATATGCATATTTTTCCATCCACTTTATCATTCAGCTCTACTTTGAAATATCACATAATAATACACTAAAGTTTATGTTTGTAGTATGAACCTGTTTGAGGGATGTGAATGGCTATGTGTTATGATTCTGGCCTGTCTGCCTGCTCTGCTCTCCCTGTGAGCAATCAACTCCAGCTGCTGCCTGCTGTGCAATCAGCAGCATGTCTCTCAGCTGTGCTCAAGCAGTTATAAGTTGACAGTGCCAGATAATAGCAAGCAAGCAGTATTCAGCACCTCATGTTACCTGACCAAGCTCTTGACCACGTCTTCGCTTCAAGGATTTTCCCTCTTGCCTAGCCCTCATCGGATTTCTCTAGCTTCTGCACAACAACCCTGTTTCTGCCCCTTCTGCCACCTGCCAAGCCCCCTGATCATTAGCCTGAGTCTAGCTTCCAGGACCTTGATCCTGCCTCTGTGCACCAAGCCACCAAATAACTGTTAAAGGAGCAGTCTGCTCTGTTCAAGCTGCTGATCCTCCTTACTCTGATAATCCCTGGTCCTCGGTGGATGTGCTCCTGAAGTCCTGAGTTCTGAATAAACTGCTCAAGTTCTAATCCTGTGTTCTGGCTGAAAATTTGGGCCTTCTGTCTTGATCCTTACACCATGCAAAAAACAGCATTTTATACAACACACTGAGTCCATCCAATTGGCTAAATATGTATATATTGTACATAGCATGTAAAGCATGAGAGCGAACTTTTCCAACTTTTATATTAGGATGTCTGCGTTGATTTAACTATAAAATAAGTGGTAAAAAGACATATTACGTCAACCTTTTCCTCTAATGTTGACACCATAACAACTGCCAATGATAGACTTAAATCCAATATGTTATCAAGGAGGATTTGAAACACTGTATACAGTAGAATATATACTGTTTCTAACAAATAAAAACTGGAAGGGTGTTCATTTCTCTTAATAAGGAGAATAAAGTGGTTCTCACAGAAATACCTGGAAAGGAGAAAAGTGGGGAGGACAACAACGGGTCACTGAGAACCAGCTAAAAAATTATAAATATATTTTTTATATTTTTCAATCTTACCAAAGTGTTTAATTTCCCTGGCATACTTCTCCACAAACGTCTTGTGCTTCATTACTTTATCCTGCTGTGTTCCTTTTTGAATTTCAGGCTCGATGTTGAGAATGCTCTGGAAAGACAGGACAAAGTCAGCGGAGGATAAACAACAGCCTCCATATACAGCAAATGAAAAAAATCAGCTTTGAAAATAACTAAATGTATACAGATAACTTAAATATAATTTCCAGCTGAAGAGATTTTCCCACTTCTCTGGGAGCAGGGTATGAGGTGTTTAGGGCAGTCTGTTTGTGATATTCACTCCTCTACTTAGAACATCACCAAACAGCAATCACAGCAGCATGAGCCGACCATTAACTTTGCAAAAAGATGTTTATAGTCCCCCAAATTAACAACATTTAGATCATTCCAGCTGAGGCATAAGGTCTGAGTCAAGGGATTTTACAAAAAAGATGAAAGAAACTTTAACCACTATTATAAAAATTAACATTATACCAAACGACACAAGGTAGTCTTATATAGTTGATAAAGAATTTGTGGAACTTGTTTAGAAAATGCATGTCCAACTTGGTGCATCTTCATTTACCTTGCTGAAGCCTTCTCTGCTGATAGTATCCACATTCCAGGGCAGTTTCTTCTCATCACGCCGATGTTTTTCCAGGAGTCCTAGAAAGGACTTTTCATCCTTCTCAAGTTTCTTTACCTCAGCCTGGACTTTCTTTAACTCAGTCTCTCGCTCCTCATCCTCCGCTCCCTCTTTTCTCTGATCTTCCAGGTACTGGAGTCGTCCCTGCGTTTCTTTCAGCAGCCTTTGGCATTCGGTTAAGTTATTTTCCAGATCTTCACCCCTCTGCTGAAACTCAGCCATCTTCCCTAGCCTGGCCTTTTGTAGCACAAAGTTGAAAACAAATGGACAAGGATAATAACAAGACACGTGGAAAAGCATGTGATTAAGAATATCAAAATATAGCAGAGGGAAGGAAAAATAGAAAATAGTGAAAATAGATAGAAACATATGGAAATAAAAATAGAATAAAGTACCAAAAAGTTTTTTTTTTTATTTCAATGATGCTGTAGAGATACAAAATATAGAGGGTATTACAATATACCGGTAATAGTTTTAGGGGTTGAACATCTAACAGTTACAGTGAAATCTAAAGTACAAATGCAGTCCACACCCACCATTAACCTTGTGTTTCAGCTACATGAACAGATTTGATTTTTCTCTGCTTGACTTGTGCTATCTGGACTTTCCCACATCTAAGAAAGTTATTAGGGATCGGAGGATGTGAAATGTATTAAAATATTGGTGTGCCTTTAAGGTACTTTGGTCAACATTTTTTTTGAATGTGTTACATAAATTTTACATTTGAAGAGATGGTAAAACAAGGAGGGCAACAAAGACCAGGAACATTTGGGGAATACCAGAGATACTATTATACACTTTCCCACCGAGTCCTGTGTTAGCAAAGCTTTTTTAGACAGTCAAAGTTACTCAGATCCAGGGTTGACTAAAGAAGCATGATCATTGGTGTTGCAAATGCTGTCCTACATTTGCACCCATTAGCCGCCTTTCCTAAGTTTGCTTAGAGCAGGATTCTGTTTACATTTCCAAGTAGTGTTTAAATTTGTGAGCTCCCAGTCATTTGTTTTACTTACTTTAGCATTACTTTAGCATCTAAAATATTAAAGGTTGACACACATTTTTGCAAGCTCAAACCCTCCTGTATGAGGGAAAGAGAAAAGAAAAGGGGAAAATAAGAAACAAGAAGAACGGTACACTGCAAAAAAGTTGTAATCTAAGTAAGTCAATATTTCTTAAAATAAGTGTATTTTTTCTTGGATTGAGGAGGTGAGACACTTTGCCAATTCAATAAGACAATTTACATTTAAAATAAGAAAAAAAACAACTGCAGTCTCCTATTTCAAAAACAATAAAGGGAAGGAGGAAATGAAGGAAGTAAGGAAGGAAGGACGGAACGAGTGAATGAAGGAAAGAAGGAACGAACGGATGAATGAACGAAGTGGGAAGGAAGGAATGAGTTACAAAGAATTGTTTACGTCTAGTTACAGATGATGTATGAGATCTTTGACTCATTTACTTGTAAATAAGTTCAGATGTTTATTTTATTTCACGTTGTGCAGAGACCTACCAGCATCTATACCTGGAGAATTAGATTGGACGAAAATACAAAATCTATGCAAAAAGAAACATGGCCAAGATGCATACCCAGGTCCTTCAGCAGGAAGGAAGGAAGGAACGAACGAATAAACGAACGAACAAACAAACAAACAAAAGAAGGATGGAATGAAGGAAGCAAGGAATGAAGGGTGGAATGAAGGAAGCAAGGAATGAAGGGTGGAAGGAACAAACTAACTAACGAAGGAACGAACAAAGGAATAAACATAATGGACTATTAGGGAGGAAGGAAGGTAACAATGACATTATGGGCATTATAAGAACAAGAAATTAAGAAAAGGTTGAAGGGAGAATATGAGGATGAAAAGATTCATGCTGCAGAGAATGAAAGAAGACATGGGGGTAGGACACAAATGACGAGGAAACAGGGAAGGTATGATGTGAAGGACTGAAGGAACAGAGAAGGAATCATGAAAGGAATGATAGGGTGACATCCCAATGTAAGGACAGAAAGAGGGAAAGAAGGAAGAACTTAAAGTAGGAAAGGAGGGAGGACATGTTTAAGGAAAGAACAACACAAAGAAGGAATAAATTAAGGAATGAAAGAAAGTAGGGCACAATGATGGAAGAACAAATGGAAGACACAAAGCAGCAAATGAGTGAGGTCATAAGGAGAGAAGAAAAGGAATGATATTTATTTCTTATATTTTTCTAGAATTAGTGGTGACCCTGCCGAAAGTATTTTGGATGTGAGTTTTAATCTATTTTAGGCATGTAGTTCAGTTTTAAATTTAAATATTTTGGCTTAGAAACATGCAAACGGAACCTGACAAGCAGGTCCGCCCCTCTTTAGGTTCAATATTGCATGTTTCTATGCCAAAACACTATATGTTTTGCTATATGTTCCACTCTATAAAGCCTTGAAATCAACGCTATTTCTGACATTTTGAATTGAAAAAGCCTTCTGGATGGGAAGCGAAATGTCTTTAAACTTGGAAACCAAGCCCAGTGGATTGTTTTCATTTTTTTTTTTTCTTTACTTTTTTGAAATGACTATGACCTGGATGACTGAGAATCTTCACCAGCATACAGCATGTGCAGAATACAGGGTTATGGTGGAAAAGTGTTAGTTTTCATTCCAGCTTCCTTCTACGTCATTATATCCCTTTGTAAGGCACTAACACACATTGCCTTAAGACCTGTATATTGGTGTATTAATGTGTATGTTTGTGACTGTCATTTACTATATAACTTAAACCAGAGGTCTTCAACAGGGGGTCTGCAAACCCTAGGGGGTCCACAGAGGTACTGCATGGGTGTTTTTTTTAATATTCCCCCGTGAATGGAAATGTCTTTAAATACACATTAACATGAATTCAACACACTGAAGGAAACAGATAAATGGAGACAGAAGATGTCTTTATCACCAATGCACACATTCAGCGACACACAGGGCTGGGCACCGTTTCATTCACAACACCTGTCCCATTAACAAGGAATCAGAATCAAAAAAATACTTTAATAATCCCAGGGTGAAATTACTTTTGTTACATTACTCCATATATAATAGAGTGACTATAGGACCAGTTTGATATAACATAATTAAGTATAATATATATAGTTAGGGGGTCCCCGCTCCATCTCGCCATCAGTTTGTGGCTCCTTGGCCTGGAAAATGTTGAAGATCCCTGGTTTAAACTATGAAAAAAAATTTGTTCAAAGATGGAGGACTGAACATAAGGTCAATCTGATCAGTTTTTCATTATTCTAAGGTTCTAAAGTTCAGCTTTTTGTGTTATCCTAGATAATAATTTAAACTTTTTCTTTCTGTATCTTATTGTAATGCGTTTCCAAAAAAATATAAATAAGCTTGGCTCCATGTTGTTGGAAAAAAAAACAAGTCTTGCTTGAATAACTGCTTCAGTGTTGCTGACATGTATTAATAGTTGTATATATATTTTTATCTTGTTGTGGGAATTGTCTTGAAGAACCTTACATAGTTCTAATAATAATAATGTATAGTTGTATTTAATAATATTTTTTGTTGCGTTTTACAGATTTCAAGATCAACCAAACAATTGATTTCATACAAAATATTGAACGTGTTTTCTTAAGAGTTAATTTAATTGGTTCATTTCCTTTTTTTGAGCCCTATCTGACAGGTTAAGCAGTCTCCTGAGAGGATTCAGCCTCATCTGAACCGCTTACAGATCCCAGCATAACACCAGTTCACCAAACAACACTCTACATGTAACATCTGTTATCTACACTCTAACAGGGATTCCCACTGCTACAAGTGTTTCTGCTGACCCGGTGTCTCATTCTGAACAAGCTCGGTGTGTCCACGAAAGGACTGGTGACGTCTTCATCGTCGGAGACATAGATGTGGTCCCACACACTGTAGTCAATGCTCATCTTTCCAGAATTTCTGACTTTCAAAATCAACCCAAAGAAAAACAGGAGCCAGAACCACTACTGTGAATCAGAACAGCTTCGTCTAAAGCAACTACTGATTACGTAGCAGCTCACTTAAGCTGCTTAGCGGCAGAACACCAAATCGATCGAGTTCAAAACATCCCCAATAGGAATCTTGTTAGTGGAATCACTGCGCGCACCGCGGCGGGTCTCGTTTTTTTCTTCTTCTTCTTCGTTATCTTGTTTTGCTTCTTCGTGTCCTACTGTAAATTACGTGTGGTTGACAAGTAAGGTTGGCACATTACCGTCACCAACTGGCAAAGTTCAGAACTTCAAGGATAGGTCAAAAATATATACCTGAATTGATACATTGATTGAGAATGTACCAAAGGAAGAGAAAGGTACATGGGGTTACAGTATATACAGTGCGTACACAGCTTTTTTGTTTTTGTTGATAGTAGGATTATATACAGGGTTGTTGCACAGGGTGTTTACATGGGTATTTATATAGATAGATATTTTTATATATAAGAGTTTATATAATATATATATATATAAATGTATATATAAGTTGTCTGATGGGCCCTAACCCAGCAGACAACAGCTGCTCCCTCCAAAGGACCTCAGCCTCCTCAGGAGGTGTTGGTCCAGGTGCAGAATTGAATACATTGATTAAAGAAATTCTCCTAAATGGGCTAGCACACACAATAAATTGCAATATTAATAGATGTAATATCGAGTTTTTATATTATTTTTGGTTTTGGTTTTCAAAGCATTAGTTAAGAATGTATCTTAGCATGATTTTTTAACAATGTTGATTAAAATGTTTTACAGTCTCTTCCTGAATGAATACTGAAAAACAGTATTTCAAATGTTTTAGTTTTTCCTCTTCTGAAGACTGTGCTGTTATATCAGGTGTGACCAAATCTAAATCTTAATATTATTATATCTTCTCTTCTGCTCCCCCCCCCCCCACCTAACATTTCACCAGCCTTCCTCTGTTTCTTTGCTAACCCACTTTCTTTTCCTTTTTCTTCCATGTTATTCTGCCATATTTCCTTTACCAGTTTTTGTTGTGCTTTCATTTTCTTATCTATTCAATTACATTTCCTCATTGATTTTATCATCTTATGTAGCTTCCTTTGCCATTTTGTCTGCTGGCTCATTTCCATGTATCCCAATTTGTGCTGGTATACACAAAAAATACTACAATACTACTATCAGCTCCATTCTTTGTAGTCTATATAATGTCTGCTAAATCTCTAGAAGAATATCTGGTCTACTCTCTGAATTCTTCATCTTCAACTTGTATCACAATATCAAGTTATGGTGCATAACGCTATCTATATTATGTGCATGGCGATACCAAACTATGTGAAATATAATATAAAATCTGCTATGGTTCCATATATACTTCTGTATTCCAACTCGACTATGATTAAAAGATTTTTTTTTAGATGAAAATTATTTCTAACATGTCTCATTGCTAAACTAAAAGCTATTTTTTTGCTTCTTTATGCGTCCTATTTGGCACAGATAGAATGTTAGATTAATGTTTCACAAAGGGTTGTTTCAATCAAGGACATAAAACATGTGGTATTTGCCAATTGGGAGCTCTTCTGTTGTGTTAAAAAGGAGAAAACTTACCTTGAACATAGTTATTTGTGAACACTACTTCTATTTTGACTATTGACATCAGATTTAATCAGTCATCTTTCAATTCAACAGAATCTGCTCTTGAAGTGGTCTGACACACAATGTCTACACAGTTGTAATTTTGATCCTTTTCTGTAAAGTTAAAACTTTCATTTTGCTGAGATTAGCTTATTTCATAAAAACTTAAATGAATGAACTCGTTCCTCCAGATTACATTATTATTATTTGGTCAATGTTTTAAGATAGAAAAAATACTAGAATCTGCTTTCCTGAGTGACAACCTAATGTAGGCATGATAAAAGCACTCATATCTGTATTTTAGGAGTCAAATTAGCGTGCAATGGAATGCTGAAGGTAGAATAGGGAAAGAGGCACGTAATTAATGATTGGCCTAACAGCCAGCACATACCAAAGCAATTCATTGTCTCTAGCTGGACTCAACAAGCCTAATTTTACTTTTTTTATTCACTGACATTCATGGGTCACAGATTTTTTACTTAGTTCCATGTTGAAACTTTGATCTTTAACTGCCGAAAAGATCAAATCTTTCCCAACTTATATGACAGATATCTATCAGCCAATAAACGCTGTTCTCCAGTCCATTGTTTATTTATAATTTTGCATTACCGTTTTGATGAAAAAGGATTGAAGCTCACTGTCATGAATACCAAAAAAATAGGCTTTCTGAAAAGATGAGTTTGTACGCTTACAGGTGGAATAGGAACTTTGAATATTTTAGCAGTCTATATCATGTTCCTCTTCAAATCATAGGGATAAATCAATGTACCAGCAAGGTTTTACGCTATTTATTCCAATTAATATTGGGCAATATTAACTGTGAATGTGGAAACATTTGCTTTTCAATTGTCAAAGTTACACATAGGGAAATTAATATATCAGCTGTCCGAAATATCCTGTTCAACCTAATTTAACTTTGGTAAAAAATTAGCAAATGTCTTCAAATCCACAGGAGTTATGGGCCATAATTAGTGGAGCAAGCAATACAAGCAACTTGCTAGTAAATTAATCTATTCCCATGTTATAAGGGGGGACAGGAAATTTATAAACAGGATTTCTTGCCCATAATGAGAGGAATAAATACTGTAAAAGACCAGCAGGTAAGATATTTTGTCCTCATGTTATAAAAGAGGCAGCTAAAATATCCAGTGTGAGTTAATTATCACAACAAAATGAGGAATGTTTTACAAAAGATTTAGCTCACATTTATGAAAAGTTAGGTTGATAACAATTGTAGCACTTGGTACATTTTTCTAATGACTCAGTGTCTTGCAAGTCTGAATGTGAGCTGTAAGTGACATAAACAGGAAGTTTAGCTTAGAAAATAAACAACTGAATGGACAGAGAACACCCAAGTGTTCAAAAATTAACTACAAGGACTAAATCATGTCCCAGATCTTGCTAACTTCAAAGAGGTCAAGGACCTCCTGTCCTCCCACGTTCCAAAGCATGATATGCAGGGGAACCAATTAACCAATGATAGCGACACACACCATTTAGAAGAATGGGACTAAACCCTATGCTTTAAATCTCAAATGTTGATTTTGCTGCAGCAAGAAAGGGGGATTTTGGCTAGAGGCAAGAAAATTTCCACAAGGGGATCTTAGAATATGTGTTTTTTTTAAAGTAATATTGTATATGAATTTCCTTCTATATAAGCCTCATTTAAACAGTAGAGGCACAAACTTCCTAACAATTCATATTAAGTACTTCAGAATAGCAGTGGCCCACACGTACACAAACATCCCATCTGACCTCATTCCAGCAGAGTTGTCTTGCTGAGCAGGGAGTAAAGTAGGAAGGAGGGGGGTTTAACATTTCTTTGGAAATCTAACCTTGATCCATCCTCTGTACATTCCGTTTGTAAAATTCCCCTCAGTTTCAAAGGAATTTGGCTGGTAGTCAAATGGAAAATGTGTTGATCATTTCTTAGTCATCCAGCATGTTTTTCATACTAAAACATGCGCATGTCTTTGAGTCACTACTTGCTCAGATTATAATTTGAAAACCTTTTTTTTTTTTTTTTTAAAAAACAAGATTACTTAAACAGTAAGGAGAATGAAGTATGTCTTTAGAAGAATTTTTTACTTTATTTACAGTTTAAAAATAGATAATAAAAAAAGCTTATTGTCTTTATTCAACAATATTCCATCTTTTCCAAAAGTAACTTTGCCTATGATGTGTCTGTACCTTTAAAATTCATGTCTTCAAAACTGTTCCATAGAGTCAAATTCTATTAGACATTTCTAAATGACTATGAATGTTTAACTTTACAGCTGAGTCAAAAAGAGTTAAATGAATAGAACTAAAGATAACTTCACAAAGGTGTCACTGACAGCAAATATTTCCAAATATGCAGAATTTTCATTATTCATAGGAAACACAGATCATGAGTGGCATGAAAATCTTGGAGAAACACTGAAATCTTAGCTTCATTACATTCTACAGAGTCAAGTTAAATACAAGCGTGGTAAATTAACTGTGCTTCTGAACAGGTCAGTGTGTGTGGGGGGAGGAGGTTGCCACTGTGTACACTATCCATTATTTTTGCCTTCATTATTGACTCTCTCCTTGCCTGAAACTTCACTGAAACACTTTTTTTTTTTAAAAACATAACAGAATAGATTAAAGAGTGATACTAAAACCATCTGAACTTCATATGCTTTTCATTGTAACTGGTCAACATTTTGATACAGAAAAAATGTGAGAATGTGGAAGTTTAGCAGAGATGGGTGACATATTCCCAGCGTAATCCATTAAGTCACTTCTAATGTCGCTTTCTGACGACAACATACACATAAATAAAAGCACATATGTGGAGCAAAAGCAAGTTTTGTAGTGCTTTAAGGGGAGTTGTATTTAAAAGTCTTGGTCTAAAGCCAGATGTTGGTAATCCAGGTCCATAATGTAAATCCCCTGCCTAGTTCTACTTCATCCTGTTCACTTTTGCTGTACCTAGATATTCCAACTACTTTTAAAAGGAAATTTTTAAATAAAACATTCACAGTTGTTATGCCTCTAATAACTAAAATGGGAAAATATGCAGATGATACATACTTTTCTGGATTTAACTGCAATAAAATAATTTTTAAAAGAGCACATATAAACAGATGTAACCAGTATCTATAACAAACACTTTAGAAAAGGCATTTGCAATTCGTTTTTACAATTCATAACAGTTTTACCACAGTTTGTCTCTTTATCTAAAATCACAAAGAAATTAAATGAGAAAGACTAAATAATTACAGTCCATTCCAGCCTTAGTGGATTTCAGATGCAAAGAGTTCATGTTCCTTTCTTACAAGACTTTAACCATCTAGAAAGAATTGAAAACTTCCATAAAGAGGAACACCTTTTGTCCATGATTGGAAATTAAGAGATCCTGTAGCAAGATGAACTTGGCGCAGGTTCACTGTAGCTGTCTTCAAAACCTCAGCTTTAGAAGGTCCATCAAGTGATTTTATTTAAGCACTCAGAGGAATAGCAGTGTGATGTACTGTA